TAAACTGTACAAGATTGTTGCGTCTCCGAGCAGTCATAACCTCCAGGTCTCTCGTCAGAGAGGAAGCCGCTGCTAGTTTTCTTTTTTCCAGTTCACCGGCAGAGATCGTCTTGTCGCTCTGAATTCCTGCATGTAGAATGCTAGCATCAGCAAAGCTGTGGATTGGGTTGATCGTATAAGAAAGGATGTCGTTGATATGTCAGACGAACAGTGTCAGAGCCAAGGCCGATCCCAGGGGAACACCCGAGTTGACGTTGTGGGAAGAAGAGGAGAACTTGTCTCTGGGATGCCATAGGATGGAGGTTTGCATAAGAGGGCAGCGTGTCACAGCTGTCCGAACGCTTTCGTGATATCAAGAGCACGATATGAGCCTCACCATAAGGCTCAAAGAGCTCACTCTACAATTGCATGACGTAAGCTAGAAGTCCCCTGTGGATCGTTGATACCGGAAACCATACTGCCTGTCGCTAATCAAGCCGTGACGTTCGAGGTAGTTCAGAAGCTTGCAATTTATGCACCTCTCCATCACCTTACTTATATGTAGGAGAAAGCACAGCTATAGGCATGTAGTTGTAAAGGTCAGTCTTAGATCCCTATTTTTGGATGGGTTGGACATGAGCAAATTTCCAGTTTTCTGAGAAGGTGCCGGATATATGGAAGAGACGCGAAAGAACTGGAGCAAGCTCCGCTGCACACCTCTTCAATACTAGGGCAGGAATCAAGTCCAGACCAGAAGTTTTGTTGATATCGAGCGACAAGTAGATGAAACGGCGAATGAGTAGGTTCCATATAGGAATTCTCTAGACCATTTAAGATAAAGATAAGGATCTCGGTAAGAAATTGAGCTGCCTAAACTCCATAGGGGCCTGCCTGAAAATGAAATTCCAATCCCTCTTAAGGGCATTTAATATACAAAAGTGTGCGTCGGATTCTTTGCAAGCATCGGAGTATATTTGCCTCTGAATTCCCACTGCAAAACAAAACAGTTTTAATATCCCAATATTGCGCCGCCCTTTATCGGTCTTATGCCTACATGTTACTTCCCGTATAGTGTAGGGAACCCTTTGAATCGACGGTAATCGGGCGTTGGGGGACGTCCATAGTGGAGTTGGCAGCAAAGATCTTGGCAAGCAAATAAATTTGGGGGATGTGGGAAAGACTGCTGCGGACAGAAGCCACAACTCCCCCGTACTTTCTCAGATTGGCGTTCACCTCGTTATTTGGAAAGCTTAGATGATTAGACGGTGCAATCTCTGAGATTTTTGTCTCCGCCAAGAAAAACATGGCAGGGCGATTTTGGTGGCAGGTGGTGATGAACAGCTTAAATGGTGCTGTTAATCCTGCAGATGTTCGTGAAACAAATTTTATCATCGATGTTGTTCCCTCGCGTCCACCCTTCCTCCGGACGATCCGAGAGTGGAGTGAGTTTACGTCCGGACTTCTTAGTACTCAATAGATCCATCATCATTAATATCTTTGTTGGGGAAGATAACCGACTGCGAGGCTAGCGGGAATACCGTCTCGGTCGACTGATCCTTAAGTTGCTTTCTGATTACAACAACTTCCGGAACAAGTATTTGCCACGACCCCACTTAGTAGCGGGGGCTAGATGAGGAAGAAAGTGAGATTAAAATACTTCACGACAAAAATGTACTCAAGAACTATGCGGGTTTTTCAGTTTTATGGACTCACTATTTTTCGAAATGGTCAACCGTGGATGACCAAATCGTAAAACGTTTGCGATTTAATGATATGGTCAAATTTTCTTGGTCATTCCATAAAATGAGACCATTTCATGAAATAGTCAAGTCAGTCATGGCCACTACGAAATGTTATCAGGAGTTATAGAAGAATGAAATACTTAAAACATAAAAACTGTTTGAAAAAATCAGTTACTGAACGAGTTTGAAGGGCTAAAGCGAATAAAGTAAATGGCTGACAGTCAAAAAGACTGAAATTTTAGAATGTTGTTCTCCTTAGGAATCTGATCAAAAATCTCCATTTGCGTGTGTGGCCTTTATATCAACGGTTTCCATGTTACAGGATGTGCAATCCTGGTAAATTCGAAAAAGATATGACCTTACGGCAGACACTAATATAATTTTATGATTTCTTCAGGCATTGATTAGAAACTTATGAACTCATTTAATGCCGATTTGACCCATCTACTGGATGTCTGCCGATTATCCGACACATGTTTGACACATTTTTGATGGTATCAATTCGTTACAATTCTGATGAAATATAAATCGTATATCGACTATACCATTTTCATCAAAAGTCTCTGTGGGCGGAAGGAGTATCAATGGTTTCTGAGTTTCAGGGTACACAGATTATTGAAATATTGATGAAAAGTAATTCCCGGTCATTTCTTTGAATTTGCTACATTCGCGCATCGTGTGAGAAGCGAAGGTATAGTACATCCGACGCATTTTGGTAGGTATTTTTCTACATTAGCAGAGAAGAAGCTCCATGAACACTTTGGAGGATAGCGCACAACAACAAGTCTGTCAGCAACCTCACTTGCTCGGTCAATGTTTTACAGTGAAACTACCGAAGATGAAGTGATAAACAACCTTCGAAATAATAAGTCGTGTGGAAGTGATGGTGTGTCAACAAGAATAGTTAAAAGTGTGTGTCATCAAAGTGCAGGTCCACTAGCTATGGTCATAAACATGTCAGTGCATCAAGGCAAATTCCCTAAAAATCTTAAACTGGCCATTGTGGTACCGGTATTGAAGAAGGGAGATCCCTCTCAAGTCAAAAACTACCGTCCAATATCTCTTCTGTCAGTTTTCTCAAAGATATCTGAGAAAGTGCTGCACGAGCGCATAGCTAGCCTTACTGACAAATACAACATCATCTCCAATAACACATATAGACTTGGATCATCTAGTTGCTGGAGTATTTTTCGACTTGTCCAAAGCGTTTGAACTCATTAATGTAGATTTGCTAAGGCAGAAACTTTTCAATATAGGTATTAGAGACTTCTTGCTGGACTGGCTAGCGTCTGTCCTTACAAACAGGGAACTTAGAGTAAGAGTGAACGATGCGCAGTCAGCTACCTATAAAATAAATATAGGTGCAGCTCAGGGATCTGTATGGGCACCACTTCTTTTCATCCTGTTTATAAACGATCTGAAGCTCTCAGGTGCAGTGGTGAACTACGCTGACGACACATCGGCCGTAGTAACTGCAGATTCGCCTGAAGATCTGTACCTTAACATTGGAAACATAAAATCTGAGATGGAAGAGTGGTGCCAAACAAATCGCCTGATCTTGAATACTGACAAGACGGTAGTTGTTCACTTTTACTCTAGTACTCCACGTCTCCTTAACAGTACTGTCTCAGACGCTACGACCTTCCTGGGTATTGAGTTGGATGCAGGATTAAATTGGAAGCAACAAGTTGACAGTGTATGCAGGAAAATGAATAGGTCTTACTATGCGATATTGAAATTAAAGCCAAATGTCCCCAAATCAGCGCTGATAGATGTGTACTACGCAATGGTGTATTCGCATCTGTCAAATCACACCATCGTCTGAGGACAAGCATGCACCGCGTCCAGAGTGTTTATTTTGCAGAAACGTATTGTAAGGCTGATATTCAACATTAAAAGGAGAGAATCATGTAAAGCAATATTTCAGCATAATAACTGGCTAACGCGTCCGAGTATAAATATATTTATAAATGCGTCCTCTACATCTTCAATGACAGGGGCTAGTTTCTGCAGAACAAGGACTTAAACACAACTATAGTATAACACTAGAGCGAAACAGGACTTCTTCGCATACACTGTCAATGCTCGAAAAATCACCAGCCTACGCCTGCACCAAGGTATTCAATAAGTTGCCATCAATACTAAAGGATATTAGATGCTCAAATAGGTTCAAGAAAGAGCTGAGGAATCTGTTAATAGAAAGATGCTACTACTCAGTAGCCGAGTTTCTTTCAGGGTAAGAGTGATGCACCAAAAAATTAAATAGGAAACTATGGCTGTATATACAATGTGTTTGGTCACAACATACCGATATTTGAGGGGGATATTTTTCAGCTATTTTTATCGACAAATCCACCCCCTACAATGTCCTACCTCACCATCCTTGAAATGGATCCATACCGCTGCGAATGAAATTAGGGCTGACACGGTTATGGTCTGCCGCTCAACACGACACATTTTTTTAAGAACAACAATGTGCATAACCAATAATGGAGAACATTTTGAACAGCTTCTGTAACATTAAACAAGTCCAAGCTCTCTATAAGAAACATGATTTGTCATTTTTATGTATAGAGAGTTTGAAATCTATTTGCATTTTATTACACCCTTTTGGACCCATGTTAGATAGCATTTATTGCTTAATGTAGAATACTTAGGATAACAAAAAGCTGTAGAATTAGCACAAAAAAAGTACAACTTCACAGACTAGTTTTTGAATGGTGTGCGGAAATGCACTAAATAATCAATTTTCTTCCATATTTTTTTCTATTTTTGTCTGTTTTTAAGTATGTTTGTCTCAAAACAAGTTTTTCAATAATCGCTAGGGCAACACGTTATCGTTCAAATGACACCAAATTTATCATTCTGTGACACTTGAGTACTAAGTTATTACAATTTTCATACATGCATTACCGTAATCGTAACGTAGAAATAAAAATGGCTGCCATTTCAAGGGGGATGAGGTAGGACATTGTAGGGAGTTGAATTTGTCGATAAAAATAGCTGGAAAATACCGCTCTTAAATATCGGTATGTCGTGACCAAACACATTGTATATTTTTTTAGTGTTCTTATACTTATATATTATGCATACCTTTTATTTTTTCTATTGTTATTGTACTTACTTTTTTTACACCTTGTTCCGTTTATTATTGTATCTGCTTGTTTAGTGTATATTTTCATTCGTCCGCACATGCCTCCTTTATCGTTTTTCGACTAACTGTGTTTCTTTCCATTTTAACCGCTGTTTTTTTTCGACAAATTTATGTATTTATAATTTATATTTTTAAATTTTGTAGATAATAATGTACTATAGAGAGACGAGTCTTATATCATACCTTTGATCCGAAGACAATCAATCATCTATCTATCTATCTATCTAACTCGGAAACCATTGATTGGAAGCATTTTGATCAAAAAGCATCCTAAAATTCCAGCCAATTTGACCGAGAATTAGCGTGTAGAAGACCTGTTCTAATTTTCTAATTGTTAAAAAACACTTTGGTGTAAGTCACCTAATTTCCTTAAGTGGTATAAATTAAGTTAGATACATCAGCCACGTAATACCTCCTACCAGGAGGATCTAGAAAAGCATCAACTTTCGAATGGACAATTAGTGAAGAGCGAAGAAGCCGAGTGTATGAAAGTGGCCTGCTGCAGACAACGACATGTGGGTGTACCTTTTCATCAGCTTATGTACTTTGCGCAGTGCTAGTGCGGAATTTTCTTCTAATTATTTTTGTGCGGATATCAACCCCCAACAGACTATGGTAGTGGATCAGGTATAGTTTATAATCAAACGCTTCAAATCGTCAGTCAATCTGACTTCATTTAAAAAGTGTAGTCAACTAAAACTTTTAGCTGATTAAAGAGGAGTTATGATTTCATGAAATAAATAACCTTCATTTAGCTTTTGTGTATCGAAATCGGTCTATCCGTTGTAAGAAAATAATGTTGGCATCCAGTAATACATCGCCCCTCTATAGGTCGCAAGGAATCACTCTGATTTTGATGGAATTTTCACAAAGCTTATTACTGTTACAAGAGCGAAAAAGCTTTTCTGAAAATCGGTTCAGTGGCGGCGGAGTTATAAGCAAAAAGGGAAAGATTTCAGATTGGCAAAAACTTGGCCATATTCGAAACAACATTTTAGAATTTTAGAAAATCTTAAACTTCATTCTTCTACTTTTTGATCACATAAATAGTCAATGCAGTTTTTGAGGGTTAAGCATTTTGAAATTGAGCATATCCTATTTTCCTGTACTTAAAATCGTAAATCATGTTATAGCAATCTTTTGGCATTTCTCATCATGATGCCAAGCTGCTGAACTTATGTGGCATTCGTGTTCTATGAAAACAAAGAAGACTTTAGTTTTGTAAAGTATTATAGGCTTTTTGTCACGTCCCGTTCATCGGAATACTTTAGTCTTCAAAATACACACGAAAGTACGGAAACACGTTTTTACCTCAAGATAAGTCTAATAATTGTTGTTTAAGTTTGCAAAACTTTGGCATGTAGAAAAATTTCAAACGGGTGAACTCTTTAGCTAATGTGGTCACCAGCTCAAAACTAGCCTTACTCACTCACTGATTGTTGAATCAGTTTTCTAGTTTCAAATCGCACTCACCAGAAATGCGTCTAGATAGAGGGATGGTTGTTGTTAAAATACAACATTATCGTGTGCTACCATTCCGCAGGTTTACAATGTATCTATAAACAATGGTTATCTTTTACCGATGAATTTACATTACTTTTCATTCAAACATTTTACTACCAGTCACAGCAGAAAATGTGAAAGCGTTCTAGCATCAGAAAATTAGGAAAGCTATATCAATAAATTCAGACAAATGTGAACGCATTATTAAATTACTTCAGTGTTGTTATGTCGCCAAGAGCGAACTTAAAGAAATGACTATAAAAAAATGTTTGAAATGAAGAAATTTTATATCCTTTAATAATGATTCTGTAGACTAGATCCCCGTGTGCCACTAATTGTGTATCATATATTGAGGGATGCAAATTCGGCAAGTTATAAGCCTTCGTGTTAGTTGTTGTGTTGTACACAAAAGTGTACCCAGCTCAAAATGGAGCCCCCCTCCCGGGCACCATCATAATTTTTTTGGGTAGAAGCTCCACAAATCATATCTACATAACTACGCTTTATATTTTCCTTTCTATTTGTATTTCATTTATATAGAGTGTTCCACGACGATTTGACACTGAATATTGATATGGAAAACTGCTATACGAGGTTTGTTCAAAAAGTATCGCGAGTTTATTCATGAATATCTATTTTGTCCTCTTCAAAGTAATCCCCGTCAGACATTATACACTTGTGACAACGTTTTTTCCAATCCTCGAAGCATTTTGAAAAATCATTTTTTGATTTTGTTCAGCTCCTCCTTCGATGCCTTCTTTATCTCCTCAATCGTGGCGTAGCGTCGTCCTTTCATGGGCCTCTTCAGTTTCGGGAATCAGAAAAAGTCACAGGGGGCCAGGTCTGGGGAATACAGTGAGTGAGGCATTATTGGAGTGTTGTTTTTGGCCAAAAATTCGCTCACAAGTAACGATGAATGAGCAGGGGCGTTATCTTTTAGCAAATGCCAATTTTTGTTCTTCCACAAGTCCGGGCATTTCTGGCGGATTGCTTTTTTTTTGCGCATTACTTAAAGGTAATATTCCTTATTGGCCGTTCTACCCTGCGGCAAGAACTTATCAATATTTTCGTCTGTTGTTGACGTTGCTTTTGTCCAAAGTAGCTTCGTCGTATGCAACAGTCAACATTTGGAATATGTCCGCGCACTTCAAGTTGTTTTTTACACAAGGTTTAATACAAATTCTTTGATCCATTTTTCGGAATAGACAAAAATCGGAGACAAGCTGAAACACGTCCACGCAGACTAGCTGTCAAACACTGATTGGACATTCAAAATGATTGATATTGTCAACATTAGTGAGGATCATGAGTACCAACATAACGCCACAAAAAGGTCGAAAATCGAACATACGTAGCCCGCGAAAATTCAAAATTTGCGATACTTTTTGAACAAACCTCGTATCCCTGTCCGTTCAGTCGTCGCCAATCTGTCAGTGACCGTGTCCAAGATCCCGCCATACAAATTCCATGTGTTCTGCTATGTTATACATTGATGGAATTCGCACGGCCGGATTCCAGACACAGTCACCGACCACTGTACGAACAAACCTTAGAATTACTTTTTTTGAACATTCAAGCAAATATTGCGCGAGACGCTTTTTGAAGGAATAATTTAGTAGTTTGCAATACTTGAAAACAACACTTGAGATAATACTAGGGGGTAACCAAAAAAACCGGAATTACTTTTTAAAAGTTATTTATTTTCAGCTTTTTCACAAAGTAACCTTATCTCCTTCAAGATACTGCCCGCTACAACTAATACACTTGTCCCACCGGTGCTACCACTGCTCGAAACATTCTTTGAAGCCTTCCTTAGAAATGTCTGACAGCCAATCCTTCGTTTTTTTCTTGACCTCTTCAATGTTGTCAAAGCGGGTCTTTTTTGCTGAACACTGTTTCGCAATCGTCTTAAAACCTCCAAATAGCACAAGCTCTCGATTTTTTTCACCATTTTTGTCGATTCGAGCAGTTGATGGACGTCCAGAGCGAGGTTTGTCATCAATCGACATGCCGCCATTTTTAAATCCACCAACCACTCGTACACCTGAGCTATTTTCAACATTAAAACAGTTTCAGCAGCATTTTTACCAATTAGAAAGCAAAATTTCACAGCTGCACGTTGCTCACCGAAGCTTGCCATCGTAAAAAACGAAACAAGCACGACTACAGAGGAACGAAACAAGCCAGATCGACAACTCAGGTGACACTGGAACTGGTAATGAGTTACGCTGTACGCCTCTAGGGGTAGAAACGTGTACTACACAAGCTCCGCCCATTGTAATGTTATTCCGGTTATTTTTGGGAACCTCCTCGTATATGACAAATGTTTGCTATATTGCAAAATTCAAACAGGGTGCTCATTTTTCTGTAACAACTCCAAATGGAAGAATAATTTTCAGATACATTACTGACAGAGAAATATTTATAGTTATTGTTAATTGGTCCAGTTGCGACAGAGTAATCGTCAGAAAAAAGTAACTAATCATTGGTGCTTCTAAAACTTGGAAAGTTATCACTGGATTTTGAAGACACTTTGAAAGACCTGTCTAATCCGTCAATGTATTTCAATAATCAAATTTACATCTAACATTTCAACTAATCCTAGTAATTTCCCATCTAATAGATATTGATCCAGCTTATGGAAAACCCCGTACATGAATAATTTAATTTTTGTAAAAAAAATTTCTCACAATTTAATTTTTGCCGAGCTAGAAAAAAGAGAGGGCAGCTGCTCCCCTTGCACCCCCTGGGTACGCCCTTGGTTATTCATCTTCATACACCAAAATCCAAAATCTTAAAAATGGAGCATTCCATTTGGATGCAAATTCCACAGGATGATGAATGAATTTAGAAAAGTAAATGCACGAATTATAGCAACATATACCAAAACCACTATAGTCTGGCACCGAAATGGAAAAGAGTAGCAAAGTACATCATTAGCTCGGCGTGTCTTTGAATACAGCGGATTTGGGAGGGGGCGGCGCATGGGCGCCCCCCCCCCCTAGACGTCTGACACGTGCTTTTGTAATCTAACGCCATCATGGCGACAGAGGCATACTAACTGAAAGTTATAGCTATAGGAACTGAGCATTGCGATTTTTTGGTATCCTTTGGTATTCCAAACGCTGTACCCTTTTGACATCACTTACGTTTACAGCACAATTCTTACGACTTACGATTTATACGTATATACGAGTATTGTGATTTGTGACAAATCTAAGTCTGAGTAATATATTAGCTATACAGATTGCACTTAAAAAGTGATTTATGTTCTGTTTGTTGCACAATAGTAATTTGAAAAGTGTGTAAATCTTGACAGATTTTGTTCGGGGTTGGTGTTGCGGCAAAGCACTATGTTAGATGAACGCCTGAATTGGAAAAAGACATTTATGAGATTTGTCTAGCGGTGCGCCTGTAGCCTGTCCAGAAAGTGAGTCGATCGATGCTAAAAGTCAATACCACACGTCCCGCATCTCTTCCCGCGTATGTGCATTTATGTTTCTATATTGAATTAGTTTAAATCACAGAGCTTCTCCACTACACGTGAATATTGTCAGCCCCGTATTCTTGTACTTCTTTCGTACAAATATACACTATCAAAATAATTACGATCTAACACATATAGTTTTTTACAACGATTTTCATCATTTCTATATGCGATCAACACCGATTCGAAAACTGAGTCAGTAACATCTATGCCTTAAATCTAAGCTCGACAACGAAAGTCTGGAGAATAACAGAACTGTAACATCTATATTGAATTTCAAAGAATAATTGACTATACCTATTCATATTTTTATCACCTGTTGATATAATAGAAGTGCTTGATTGTGACAGTATTTGTACCAATTATTTGATTTGTTTAATGAAAGTTCAGAGTCTTAATCCTTAAGCTTAGTACACACTAGTAGACCCCGTTGCGCAATTTGCCTATAGGCAATCTGGAGACGGTATCAAGACACGATCTATAGATGGTTTACAGACATCCTTCTTGGTCTCGTCTAGCATCCATACGATAATGTGAATTTTTCGGTCTCAAGTTCGTTTTCGCAATCAAAAACATTGTTTTGTGTGGAATGGAATGGGATAAGTCTCGGGGTCCCTCAGAATATTCTTTTCAGTTAACAGAGCAATGAAGTCTTTTATATTTTAATCTTTAATATTATTACACTAGTCAATTATAAATGCCACGTACTTATTTTGTTCTCTTATAATAATATATTTAATTTCCTTTCTGAGGATTTCTGAGCATTTTCCATGGTTTTTTTCAAGCTGGCATTGACCAGATATAACACAATGGATTTAAGGAGCAATAATAGGATAAATTCTAGAAGTTCCACTGAGGTTGAAAAATTACCAGCCCCAACTATCGTTTGCGCCCCCTCCCCCCTAGACGAAATCCTAAATCCGCCCTTGATACAAAGGGACGCCGAGCTAGCAATAGCGTGCTGTGCTACTTTCTTCCGTCTTGGTACCAGAATGTAGTGGAGTGCCCCTAGGTTTAAACCTCAGAACCCGGTCCACTTAATGGATTTTTGAGATCGTTAGTGGAATGCGTATAAAATACAAGTTTAATTATAAATTATGCGCCCTTTTCAACTGTTTTTGTTTTTTATTTTTGTTTATTTATTTATATGATTATTGAAGGTTACCGGAATCCCGGTCCTCGTTAAACTGAACAAAAATGTTAACTTATGAAATTGACAGCTCCCTTACTGATGGGGTGTTCAAATTCATTTCTTCCAATAGGTACTGATATTTTTTGTCTTTTAAATTACTTAAGCACTCTAGATGAAACTCTGTGATGGATAAATCGAGGTGATCCAGGAATATTTTTATATTTCTGCTCAATTCTGGTAGTTACGTATTTGGCGAATTTTTTTGTTGTTGGACAATCATAGATTAAAAACATATGTATGTATAAATAGGTTATTATATTTTTTGGTCTGAAAATCCAATGACCGCACTGACAAAGAAACCTGTGGCGTGCTAAGTTAAGCCCCAGAATTTAGATTAACTTTTTTGTTCAGCTTAATGACCAGCTGGTTTATTAAAAGTCCGAATGATCATATGTCGTACATAGAAAATGAAATTAAAAAAAATAAAAACAATTGACGTTCAAAATTGTGCATAAGCTCTTTACTTCCCAAGCCTACTGTCCTAATCGCGAATATTTTCGAAAATGAAATGACATGTAGATACATCACGAAAAACCATGTCACTCATTTCCGGTGGTCTGTCTGTCTAACTGTCTGTCCGTTACTCTTATAGCCTTCTATAACTTAAGAAGTACCGCTCGGATTTCGATGAAATTTTTACGCAATGTTACTACTGTGCCAGGGACGCAAAAGCTTTGTAGTTATTGAATGTCGGTCTAGTGGTAGCAGAAAAAAAGGCCTGATCGTTTTTTAAAAAAGAGGCAAAAAAGGTTGGGGATGGGGGTGGGAAGGGTTTATCTCAATTTTTTTATGCTGGTACACTTATACGCTCCCAACATTGGTAATTCTGCGCACCAATTAGACATATTTCACACAGAGATTTCTCTGTACATTAGCTCTGAAAAATATTCTCCGGAAACGCCGTGCGCCGTCCATGATGAGTGCTCTGGTATGGAATTACACGTATTTCCGCTGAGCAACAGCTCTGACCGCGCGACCACTATATCAGAGAAAGGTGACGTCTCCAGATGCACTATCGGTAGGGTAGTGAAAGAATGTCTATGGACTAATTATATGTACCTGTTTGACTGACTTTTTTTTCAGAGGGTATAGTTTGTACTAAAGATATTCCTACTGCTAAGAGAGATGCATGGGAAGTGCAGAGTCAACCTACTTGACGCCATTTTTAATATACCTACAGTATTTTAAACGCATACTAGGAATCTCAAAAACCCATTTTGGACCCGTGTTCAGAGGTTTTGCTGTTTTTACGTCTAATAAACATCTGGAAGTCAGTAAGTTCCTGATGTGGATCCCGCGAGTTGAGGGCCTGCTAAAGGCGGTAAGCGGGTCAAATTTCAGGGCTCAGTACCAAGGGGGCATAAAATCTCCAATTAGGGGAGACGCACATTTTACCCTTTGCCTTGGGGCGCACAACACTGAAGCCGGTTCTGCGCGAGTTAGTCCCATGTTTTATAAACGTGAAATGATACAACTCTCTAAAACTTTTCAAGCATTTGCCAGCAGTTGTAGAAAGTATTGTTAAACTAAGTATACTAAGTGACATAAATCCGAACACCCAGTTTAAATGGTTTTATTTTAATAAAAGTTGGTGAATGTATTTATCTTACTGTAAATAACAAGTGAACAAATTTTCAGCCTTATCAGTTGGACATTCCGGTTTTTATACTGCTTTTCACTAACGCTCTAAAAATGAATATTTCAGCCGCAGTAAAGAATCAACGTTGGCGGATTTTGATTCTTGACATCCTTTACGATCGGTTACGATGCCTAGATTACGGAGACCTGTACGATTTCGTCAACTTAGTGAGTTTGATAGGGGCCGTATAGTGGGACTTCGGGAAGCTGGTATTTCTTTTCGGGCAATTGCAGTTAGAGTGCAAAGAAGTGTAGACACTGTGGTTAGGTGTTGTCAGGCATGGCTTCGAGAAGGCCGTACGCAAAGAGCAAGGGGCACTGGACGCCGCCGTAGAACAACAGACCGTGAAGATCGCCGCCTAAGATTATTGGCCTTAAGGGACCGTTTCTCCACTACCAGGTCCATTGCAAATGAATGGTTTGCAGAACACGGAAGACCTATTGGCATGCGAAGTGTTTACCGACGAATGAGAAGTTTTGGCTTGTTTTCATACCGGCCACACTGGGTCCTCCCTTTAACTCGAGAACACCGACGTAATCGCCTTGAGTGGTGCAGACCACGGTCACTCTGGTATCAGGAATGGAACAGTATTGTCTTTAGTGACGATTCTCGATTTTGTTTAGGCATGCACGTTGGTCGTGCCAGGGTTAGAAGGCGACGTGGTGAAAGGAGGAATCCACAGTTTTTTGTTGAAAGACATGTTCATCACACTGTTGGAGTTATGGTTTGGGGTGCTATAGCTTATGATTCCAGGTCACCTTTAATCTTCATCAGAGGTAACATGAACGCGCAGCGTTATATCCACAAAGTTCTAGAACCCCATCTTTTACCCTATCTTGACACCCTGGCAGATCCAACTTTCCAACAAGATAATGCCCGACCACATGTTGCAAGAGTCACAATAGACTTCTTTCAACATAATGATGTCACATTGTTACCATGGCCACCAAGATCTCCCGACTTATCCCCAATTGAGCTCATGTGGGATATGATGGTTAGGAGATTGCTCAATTTGCAACGTCCTCCTCAGACTCTAGAAGCACTTCGAGAGGAGTTGGTGGTTGTCTGGAATGAGATACCACAGGAGGACATTGACCACCTGATCAGAAGCATGCCTAGGCGCGTTGGAGAATTCGTAGCACATCAGGGTGAATCCACACATTATTAAAGGTCAAAGGGCTTTAAAGCAGTGCAATCATTTTGAAATTTTTATCATTTACTTATTATGCTTCATTAAGTACTTATACAAAATTTTATTAAAATAAAACCATTTAAACTGGGTGTTCGGATTTATATGTCACTTAGTATACATTTAGAGGAAATATTATTCAAATTACATATTACTAAATCTAGAACTATAATATACAATCGACCACTTTTTCAATGCTGATTTGAATGATATGCTATAGAGCAAGAGTTTATTGTTACCTTTGTTTGGTTGACGCTATTTGTATTGCAAGTGGTTTACAGCTTTTGGGTAGCATTTGTATTTGCAAATAAAGATTACTGTTATTATTGTTATTAGATAATGATTACAGAGTAAACCTATGTACGTTTTGACTCAATAAAATGTTACACGCGTAACATTGTTAACGAGAAAGAATTACAGTAAAAGAATGTTGGCCCAATGTCTGAACGTACTTGTAAATATTGCGTGGCACAACGGGAAACCGGAATAATAATTTCACCATCAAATACACAGCTGATGGGGATGTGGTTCGTAAAAGAAATCGCCAACCACCTAGACGAAAGACATCAAGTGCTGAAGGAGAGGTCATGCCCTATCGTCCACATCACAGAAGATAAAGATCCAGCTTTGCAAATCACCCCGCTCCACAAGAACTATAACTACGGATACAATTATGGTCAAGGTAATGTCAATTTTGAAGTAATTGGGAGATGAATCATCACTTAGTCTGGTATAAAAAAATTCACATGTACAATAAGTATGTTAATGATAGTGAACTTCATGTTTAAAAATATGTTTAAATACACCTTAAATAAAGACAACGCTGAAGATGCACTGAGAAGAGAACCGCAAGAAATTGGAGGATAAAAACCCCCTACTGAGCGAGGCTGTGGCAAATGCTTGTTCTGGAAGTTGTATTCAGTATACAACTTCTACCCGTTCAAGTGATTGTACACGCATTAAGAAATACCTCAGTACCGCATTCCAGGTGGCGGTACAAGGCAGCCAATGGGCCACTTCAAGTCTATTTAACATCGTTAACATGCAAAAAGAAGCTGGTAGACAAGGACCAGTCGACTGAGGCGGTAACACCCGCTAGCTTTTTCCAGGGTGTCTTATAAATGTCCACATGCTCCCACACCTAAGCTACGAATTCGGTTATCATCCCCAACAAAGAAATTAATGATGATAGATCCTCGAGTACTAAGAATTCTGGACGTACATTTACTCCACACCCGGAATGTGCAAATGGAGGCAGGACTCCAGAGAACAACATCGATGATAAAATTTGTTTCATAAAAATCTACGGGATTAAGGCCCGTATCGTCAGTCATCCCTACAATTGTAGGGCGCGTTTATGGCCTCCTTGATTGTCATACTCCTTTCTCTCCTTCAAAAACTTCTAGATTACACTAGTCCCGTGTCAGCGTCAGCGCTCTCCTATTGTGAAGATATGTTTTCTTTTTAAATTGTAGGAAATTTCAGGCTGATAAAACATGATATAACTCAAAAGCAAGCACAATTTGATGCAAATAGATGTTTGTGACATAACCTCAAAATAGAGTTCTGACACGGAGAAGTAGAAAACTATGACAATCAAGGAGGCCGTAAAGGCGCCCTACAATTGTAGGGACGACTGACGATACGGGCCTAAAAGCAACATTATTGCTGTTCATCTCTACCTGCAATCCAGTGATCGCGCCAAGCTTTTCTTGACGGAGACAAACATCTCAGAGTCTGTACAGATTAATGATCTTAGCTTGCCAAATTACGAGGTACACTCTAGTCTGAGAAAGAACGGGGGAATTGTGGCTTTTGTCCGCAGCAGTCTTTCCTGCTCCAGAGACGTTGCTTTGGAATCAGATCGGAAGGACATTCTGTGGCTTCGCCTCAACTCCAAAACATTCCCCAAATTTATTTGCTGCAGTTATCGCTCTCCATCGGACCATAACTGGGATGACGTACTTGTATACCTCGCTGTCAAGATTGACTTCCTGACCATCAATCACCCGGCTTGAGAGATAGTTATCTTCGGTGATTTTAATGCCCATGATGAGCTTTGGTTGGGCTCCAACAAGATCTATGCAGCAGGTCGTGCAGTCGGAACGCTCGCTGTTACCCAAGAGCTGACCCAGCTGGTGACGAGCCCTAATTTTTCCCCCGAGCTTCGTCAAATACAGTAGCCTGCTGGATCTCTTTCTGGCCACGCAGCCTGTCCCTTACAGCACTGCTGTCCTGTCTCCCCTTGGTAACTCAGACCACGGTGTTGTGAAGGTAAGTTTTCCATTGTGGCAGCAGAAACTCGCCCAGGCCGCAAAATCTGGCATTACGGACATGCCGACTGGGCGTGGCTCAGAGACTTCTTCTCCACTTTTTCTTGGAGAAATGTTTGATTCGCCGACGCAAATGCGTCGACTATCTGTTCATCGTTAACCGAAATTCTCCACGGTGAGCAGTGAAAGTTACTAAACCAGGGTTCAACGGCTGGTTCAACAAATCATGTGACACTGCTCGCCAGCAGATCAAGGCACACATAACCTTCTTACAAAACCCCACTGTAGAGAACAGACAAGCCGACGTCGAGTCCAGCACAATATAAAAGTTAGGCACAGGGTAAGCAGATTGAAAGGAACTTCTCACAGAGTAGCCTTCCACCACTTACGTATCCGGATGGAACGATGTAACCGACTCAAGGGCTAAGTTGCCAAGATCTTTGCTGCTAACTCCACCATGGACGTCCCCCTTCCCCTCCAACGCCCAAGTGCCGTCGATTCGAAAGGTTCCCCACACTATGCTGGAAGTAGCATTCATGCATAAGACCGTCAGAGGTGTGCTCTTGTCGTTCGACATCAACAAAGCTTCTGGTAGGTATTTGATTCCTGCCGTTGCATTGAAGAGGTGTGTAGAGGAGCTTGCTCCAGTTCTTTCGCGTCTCTTCCAGATATCTTACGAATCCGGCACCTTCCCAGAAAACTGAAAATTTGCTCATGTCCAATACATCCCAAAAAAGGATATAAGACCGACCCTCACAACTACAGGCCTATACCTCGGCTTTCTGTGATGAGTAAGGTGATGGAGAGCGAGCTTCTGGACTACCTTGATTAGCGACAGGTTCTCGGTACTAGCGATCTACAGGAGACCTCCAAGCTTACGTCACGCAGTTGCGGAGTAAACTCATCCAGTCTTATGGTGAGGGTTATTGCAGTTGCCCTTGATATGGCAAGCTACCCTCTTATGCAAACTTCCATCCTATGGCCTCCCAGAGAAGGCTTTGCAGATGGGTGGGTGACTTTTCCTCTGGCCGCAAGATATTGGTCGTAATTGACGGGTTCTGCTCTCCATCCTACAACGTCAACGTGGGAGTTCCCCAGGGAAGGGTCTTGACTCCGATACTGTTCATATCAACGATCTCCTTCCCAGTACGATCAATCCAATCCACATCTTTGTTGATGACAGCATTCTATCCAGTTTAGATGGATCGCCGAGTTCTGCCAAAGAGCCACTCATTTTGGCTGGTGGGAGTCCAGATCCCAGAAAACTCTGGCACGAACACATGTCGACAATAGCAGCAGCTGCTGAGAAAAAGCTAAGCTATTTATTTGTCTAGGGCTAAGAAATACTTTTTCTCCGCATGACACCCCCCTCTGTACAAGACCCAGATATGACCTATCCTCTAGAACTAAATTATCCATGCTCGATGCTGTTCTGCAGAGGGATGTCCCACTGATCGATGACTCGATTCTAACCGACAGTCTCGGGACCCTTTCGCACCAGCGGGCCGTTGGCAATCTAGCCTTCTTCTACCGCTAAGCCAATGGAATTTGCTCCTGCGAGCTCTCCTCCATATTCACGTTGCACGACGTGCCTACCAGACAGACCCGCCTGACTTTGGCTTCCCATCCTAACTGGGTCGAACTTCGTACATCTTCAGCTGGCCTTAAGCGACCGCTCCTTTGTCCTTAATGTATCGATATTTTAAAACAATCTACATGAGGAGGCTTTTCGCAATTCTACTAACTTTAGGCAGTTAACAAGTCGGATTAACAAAGTATCTTTAAGCTCCTCATAGCAGCCGCGGTGCCCTGGCATTTAGACTTCTGCCTGTGCAGCTGCTTGTAAAAAATACACGCAATCCCTAGAAGTTTTTTTAAGAAAGAAAAATGCAACAAGGATAACAGAAAAGTTTGGAGCTTTAACTATAGAAAAACCACAAAGATCAAATGAAGTTTGTAGATGAAGAATAAGAATGGTATTACGAAGGTAAAATACAGAAAAACTTACCACATTCAAAGGAGAAAAGAATTACACTTGATACTGTACACATCTTTACACGTATCTGTTATTCTACCACAGTTGAATTTTCAGTGGTTAAAGGGCGTATGTACATTTTTTGCAGTTTTTTTTTAATAAACTAATAATTTTTCAGTGTCGTAAATCTAACACAATAAAATACTGTACATCGAATCAGGAATTCAGAGCTGGGAAAAAGAAAACTATCAGCGACTTCCTCTAACAAAAGCCGGTCATTCCGGCTGATCGGAGTCCAGATCACCGGGGACTTGATCTGGCTGCAGCTGCTCGGAAAAAGCTAGGCCATTTGTTTAGAGCGAAGAAGTACTCTTCTCCACATGACCTCCTCATTCTATGCAAGACCCAGATAAGACCTCAAGTATTGCTGACCTGTTTGGGGTGCTGCCGCCCCGATTACATTATACATGCTCGAGGCTGTTCAGAGGACGACTGTCTGACTGATCGATGACTCTTCTCTAACAAACAGCCTCGGGACCCTTCCGCACCAGTGGGCCGTCTGCGATGTAGCTCTCTTCTACTGCTACACCTCAGAGCTCTCCTTCATGATGCCTGCCAGGCATACCTGCCTGAATTCGGCCTCCGATCCTAACCGAGTCGAACTTCGTACCAGAACTGGCCGATACGATCGCTCCTTTGTCCCTAGGGTGTCGAGATTGTGGAACAAACTACAAGAGGAGGCTTTTCCCAGTTCTGCTGACCTTAGGCAGTTCAAGAATCGGATTAACAAAGTTTCTTTGGGATCCTCATAACAGCCGCGATACCCCTGACATTAAGGCTTCTGCCTGCGCGGCTGCTTCGATGTAAACAAATATGATACCCCCATTCAGGCATATTTGCTTACTTTGGGAGGAGCCTAAAGGCTGGGAACTGATACCCAGCAGTTTGACACCGGTTAACAAGTTATTTGCTACATAAATTAAAAAGGAATCGACCTGAAAGTGACTCTCATGTTGATATTTTTTTTCAGAAAAATTATTAAAAATGATAAGACTTTTCAAATGAGTGATCACTTGGATCACTTGGATTAATTGTATAGACCTGCTTGGCTGACTTAATCCATTCAATTATTTTGTTATACATGTTCGTAGCTAACTTTTCCTCAGAGGGGATAACTTGTGCCGAACATAATCCTTCACGAACTAACAGCGGTGCGTGGAAAGTGCAGAGTCAAGCTACTTGACGCCATGTTTTTTCCAACTTAATGCTTGGAAGTGAGACAGCGCGAAGCGCCATCTGGTGCTAGACTCGACCGCTGCGAAACGATGAATCGCAGCCTACTGGTTGGGAGTATAGATAGATAGATAGATCTTGAGCCAGAGAATATATGGTATAACGACATTTTTGATGTGTCGAAGGTTTAAGACAATAAAAAAGAAATAATCAATTATAAAAACAGATAATATCCGTAGTTAACACAATCCATACACATATAAATGACAATTACATCAAACGTGACTATACGGGGTGTTTCAGTTTATTGTTGCATAACTTTGAGATTCGATAGAACTTTTAAAATTAATGCATAAAGTCTACGTATATAAACATGGGTCGAAAAATGCGTGGCTTCCGAAATACAGGGTGTTTAAGTTTAAATTCTAAAATAGTTTTTTTTTAAATATTTCGAACAATATTTGATGTATAACAGTGTAAATTGGTATACAAGGGTTTTTTGGTACGACAAAACGAACCATGGGCATAATTTTACTGTAGCCGCTAGAGGGCGCTCTCTAATGTACTTGTAGTGTATTAAAATGACCGAAAATTTTTTCTTAGTGCAATTTTTTGCTTTTTGAATAAAAAAACTGATTCTTCGCACTTTTCAACATAAAAAAGCTCTCTTGCGAATTTTCGTTATAGTTAGCCGTTTTTGAAATATTTAATTATTTATGATAAAATAACGTTAAAGTCAGTATCTAGATAATTTTTAGAAGTAGGCTGTGTCTGCAAATATTTTTGAAATTGAAAGCAGAATAAGGTTAAACGTCAATTAGTTGACAGTTAAATCAAATCCAAGCGAATAACCAAAATTTCTCTGTTATGTGCCGCGGTTATAATATGGTTCAAGATGACACACGGGTTGATGACGTCAGGTACACGAATCGCTTGAACGCGTTGGTTTTAACCGCGGTTTTGTTGCAAGTTGTTTATTTTAGAAAAGCGCGTATATAATCTCTGATTATTTTTATTATCACTTAATAATCGGTGCTTTTTCGTCTACAACTGTATATGGAAAGTTTAAATAAGAAACCTTTCATAATATTCATGGGAGAAATGTTTTTTTCAGATTTTTTTTTTAATGATGGAACCATGGCTTTGTAGCTATGATACTTTCAATTCTCTAAATTTTTCCGCATGTCAAAGAAAACATTTACCTATTGATTCAGCAGAAATGATGAAAAAAGAAATTAGCAAAACCGTATACAGGTGGATATCATCTAGTAAGTTTATATGGCCATATTTTAATATTCTTGTGGTATATGGCTACACAGGATACTTTGTTAAGCATAGGAACTACATTTAAAGTGTCCCCAACAACCGTAATGAGTATAACTAATAAGGTGCTCCACTTTATGGTAAAACTGAAGTCAGCCTGTATCATTTTTCTCAAAAATGAAGCTGAAGTACAATAACAATATCCAATAGCCGGCAAAATTCTAACTTGTCACATTTCAAATAATAACCAGAAATATAAAACTACTCTTGAGTTGGGTAAATACCACAATTTTGCGGTGATAACTATGACATATAACAGCTGATTCGTGACGTCACGGATCTTATAACCAAACTGATAACTACACTCGCTTAAACGGATTGGTAAATACCAACCCAAAATGGTAAATACCATTTCCATTTGGTTATCCGCTTGAATTTGATTTTAGTTTTGTTGTCTGTTGAAACCTGAAACGTTTTTTTGCAATTGTGAATGCATGAAATTTAGTTTCTTTTACCTGTTTTTTTTTTTGTAAGTTTTATAAGAATGCCATTTTTATTCTCCAATCAAGAGTTAGCGGATATTCAATTTGTGTATGGCATTGTAAATGGAAACGCAGCAGAAGCAGCCAGAGAATACGCACGAAGAATCACATTTTGTCAGTGGATTCTTGATAGAACTGATGATAATAGGGAGTTTTTAAGTAACGTTTTATGGACCGATGAGTCATGCTTCACTAGACGTGGAGTGGTAAATTTTCATAATCAACATATTTGGTGGCATGAAAATCCGCATGCAGTTCGGGAAAGAAATTTTCAGCATGAATTTAGTGTAAACGTGTGGATTGGTATCTACCGTAATCGACTATTTGGACCCTACCTTTGCCTGCAATGTTAAATGCTGCGACCTTCATGGAATTTTTAAAGGCTGAACATGCAAATATGTGGGATGATGTTATGTTAGATTTAAGAAGATTGGCCTGGTTCCAGCTTGATGGTTGTCCAGCTCATTATTCGAGAATAGTTAGAAACTGGCTGGACGAAAATTATCCAGAAAGATGGATCGGCCGTGGAGAACCAGTCGCCTGGCCTCCACGATCCCCTGACCTAAATCCATTAGATTTCTTTGTGTGGGGATTTCTAAAAGAAAAAGTGTACCAGACTCTCGTAACCACAAGAGATATGCTAATAGACAGAACCAGGAATACATGTGATGAAATAAGGCCTTATTTGAATAATAAATAAATTCGATCATTCGTAGATGTGAATTGTGTATTGAACAATTGGGTTTACGTTTCGAGCAACTACTTTAGATTGTGTATGTTTGTCCTAACTAGCCAATAGCATTTTAGTTGTAAATAATTTAATTTATTAAAAATAATATTGGAAAATTAAACAAATTAATATTCTGTTTTTTGTGTTTATTTGGAGTTAGGAATTATTGATGTGTTTAAAAACACAATCTAAACGATCATCTTAATTACTTGTAATACCCAAATCGAAAATGTAAAAAAAATATTATTTTCCCATAAATAATTAAAAATGCATCGAACCTTAAAAATCGAAATATTTCAAAAACGGCTAACTATAACGAAAACTCACAGGAGATCTTTTTTATGTTGAAAAGTGCGAAGAATCAGTTTTTTTATTCAAAAAGCAAAAAATTGCACTAAGAAAAAATTTTCGGTCATTTTAATACACTACAGGTACAGTAGAGAGCGCCCTCTAGCGGCTACAGTAAAACTATGCCCATGGTTTGTTTTGTCGTACCAAAATACCCTTGTATACCAATTTTTAATGTTATACATTAAATATTGATCGAAATATTTAAAAAAACTATTTTAGAAAGTAAATTTAAACACCCTGTATTTCGGAAGCCACGCATTTTTCGACCCATGTTTATATAGACTTTATGCATTAATTTTAAAAGTTCTATCGAATCTTAAAGTTATGCAACAATAAACTGAAACACCATGTATACATTGTAACGCAGACATCATATTCATTAAAATTATAACACATAATACGGTACACACGAATATAAAAATATGAGCAACATATTAAAAAGGTACAATATAAAAATTAGAAACTGGAAAGTTGCAATAGTGTAAAAATAGTTAGAATGATTTAGAATCTAAGTAATAGAAATGTTACTATAGTACATTTTGGAATAATCAAAATTATTTGGCGCTGTCTATTAAAATTGATTTGACATTCCTTTTGAAAAGCTCCAGCGGCAAACCGCCAACACTCTCAGAAAGTTTATTATAATATTCAACTCCAAGGTTTTTGGCTATGTTAATTCTATTTCTTGGAGGTACTAGTTTGTTTTCCTTGTGTATCTAGATCTGAGTCAGTGAAATTGGAATTCCAGTCAGCATGAGACCACTGGCGACGATTCTAGTTGTGCAATAGACGTGGACTACTGCCATTGAACAAAATAAAATAAACAAGTTCTGCTATTCTCGACCTACTTGACGCGATGTTATTTGTTGTAACCTGTAATCTTTGTTGTTTAAAACGATTTTTCCACAATTTTTTCCAACAGGATACACATACGGCCCTCTAAACGCTCAGCAGCAACAAGAACTAAAACGACGTGAACAAATCGAGCGGCAACTAGAGTACAATAGAAAAGTCATATACGGCGATCGCGATCGAAACCCCTACAACACTGATCGTTATAACAATGACAGATACAACACTGAAAAATATAATGCAGACCGTTACAACACTGATCGTTACAATACTGACCGATACAACACTGAACGGTTGAATCACCACCATGGCAAGCATATTATGAGGATGAGACACTTGAGGTTACATTGGGACGAAAACGGTGTCGAGAACACCGAGTTCAGATTGAGGTACAATGAGTCGAAGCCTGGGCTGTGGATCAGTTCTGGACCTGAAACTGGAGGTATGTCCTTTTATTTGTAATAATGACTTGACATCATCGTAGTAGACTTTTACATAGGAGAGGTAAAAGAGTACTCAATAAATACGTTCTTTTCGAACACACAAGTGAAAAACCAGGTTATACATACAGTACCAGCCTTGAAAAGTGAATGTAAGCAAAATTAAATACCTTGCGAATACATTGACATAAAGGTATCTATAATTTAGACATTTTTGTCGTGAAAACATCTGAACGAATGATGAGTACTGAATCGAAACAATTTACTGAGTATTTTTTAATATTTCAGGTGCCACGCTTTCCCCAGCATTCAGCCACTTTGCTGGTACAATTCAAGTTCTGAAAGTGGTAGGCGATCATATGGTGCTCAATTTTTGCCACCAGCTTCCAGAACGACAACTTTACACCGTATTGCTATCCAGACAACTATTCCTGCCGAAAAATGAAATCCAGGGGGTGCATAATATGCTGAACAGAAAAGGACTTAGTACTAATTTTATTACGCAAGTTTGCAATGGTTGTAGTTTAAACTCCGCTTTTGCTGTTTTGATAGCGCTAGTTGTATTTGGCCAGGTGTTCTTGTAGCAGTTGGGGAATACATTTTTTTAAGCAAATTACGCAAAAGGGAGAGATAGCAAGGAATACAGAGTTGTAAATAAAATGTATTCGAAAATGTGAGACATTTCAGTTTCTAAAAGATGAAATATTAAAACTGCATTTTAATACCTTTAACATTTCGTCTCAGGGTCTTTTTAATGTTTCGTGCCAGAGGTACTTTGGGAAGATGTAAGCTGTACGGCTTAAGAATCGAGTAACTACCATAATGAATATGTTAAAAAATAATTTATATTCTATCATGGCTAACTGGGCTAACCTACTTTTAATAACATAAATATTTTCACAGTGAATCAGTTTGTTGTACACATTAAAGGATGAAATGATAACACATTTTGGACTGATGAAAACACAATTAATACCATTTAAAGTATGATATAATCACTTCAACAGCATAACAATTTATCTGAATCAAATTGTAAGCGTTTTTATTATTATCTCTGGCATGGCAAATACGATGCCGTATCATTTAGATTGAATAAACATCGAATTGTTCTGTCAATTTGGATAATTACATATAAGGCTTCATTCATATCGTCATGAGATTTTTATGAATAAATGTCCGAGTTTGTACATTTTACCTAGTTTTTTTGAGAAGTTATGATCAGTGCTGGCGAACCGAAAAGGACGAAATCGGTAGACAGTGGCGTTGAATTTTAGTAGACGTATGTTTTTGCATTGCACGCAGATACACAATACAGATTTTTTGAGGGCATCTATTCCTGAAAAAAATCTCAGGTTCTTTGTTACAACACATCATTAAAGCTCATCTTGCCATTCTCGTTTATAAGATTCTGAATATTTCCTGTTTCATTCCTTACACTTTTAATTTAATATTCAATTGAATACAGACGAGCTTTGATTTCCTTATTACTGTGCGATAATGACGGCGATCTAGTATGTACCTGTTGAACACAAACACCAATATAGGGAGAGCAGAATAAGGGATAAGAGTACCCTTCTCTATGACTGGTATGGGGCATAAAACTATATAGACTAGATAGAATTCATTTATTGCTTTATTTTTGGTTCCAGCTCTTTTTATATGAAAATATGGAAATATCTGAATTTCTTTAAAAAAATCGTGGACAATGAGGACAATTTCTATAAACAAGGTTTCATTTCGGTAGAAATACCGAGAAATCGATTACAAAATATTGTATCTTGGTACGAATATTAACACCCGCCCTCCGCCCCACCCCAGACGCATCTCACAATCCTGTCTTCAATTGTCACAAGGCATTCTACCTCTAAATTACTACTAGGATGTAAAAAATGTCTGTCAATATTACGTCGGTGCCTAGTCTGCCCCTGGCGATCTATATGAGTTTTGAGTTAATTATTTGCTACTTACCAAGAAAGGCTCCTACTGGTTACTAAGCTATCAAAATTTCGTTGGATTATGCAATTTCGTTCAAGTGACCTAATAAAAAGCAAATTCTAGTAGCGTCCAGTAGATGTCAGTATCTCCGTAAAAGAGCACCGCAGGAAATGTTTTTTATAGGAACTTTTGGAAGTATTTTTTGTGTACTAAAGGGTGTTCAGATAAGGACGCTCGAAAGTTAAAATGGAAAAAAAGGAAAAAAATTTAAGTCAGCACTAAAAGTCTATATTGATCGTAAATAGCATTCGACGACATTATGTATGGAAAATTATATCGTTTAAATGGCCACCGCGACTGCGCTGTACAGCGTGCATTCGCATGGTCCAATTTTCGAGCACTTTTCCGCACATTTCAGCGTCTACCTGTCCGAGGACGCGAATGATGTTGGCCCTTAATGCTGCAATTGTTTGTGGCTTATCCGCATACACTTGAGACTTCACGTAGCCCCACAGGAAAAAGTCTAAAGGCGTTATATCGCACGATCTTGGTGGCCAGTGCACATCGCCGCCGCGCGAAATAATGAAACCGTTGAACTTTTCATGCAGTAAATCCAGCGTTGCGCGTGCGGTGTGGCACGTAGCGCCGTCCTGCTGGAACCAGATGTCTGTTAGATCCATATCGTCCAGTTGAGGCCACAGGAAATCATTAATCATGGCGCGATACCGATCTCCATTGACCGTAAGCGCGTTGCCCATAGCGTCCTCAAAAAAATATGGACCGATTACGCCGCCAGCCCAGAAACCGCACCATACAGTCACTTTAGCAGGATGCATAGCAATTGAGCAAGTCACTTCAGGATTTTGGTCAGCCCATATTCGGCAATTCTGTTTATTGGCATACCCATTCATCCAGAAATGCGCCTCGTCGCTGAAGATGATTTTTCGTGCAAATGCAGGGTCGACTTGCAACTGCTCTAGAGCCCATGCGGCAAATGTACGGCGCTGTCCATGGTCTTGCGGTTTCAATTCTTGCGTCAATTGAATTTTGTACGCGTGCAATTTCAAGTCTCGACGCATAATTGTCCATGTTGAGGTCTTTGGAAGGGCAAGTTCTTGTGCACGTCGCCGCAATGACTGATTCGGGTCTAGACGCACGCTCTCTCGCACAGCAGCAATATTCGATTGTTCTTAGTGTTCTTACTGTTCGTTGCCGTACGGGTGTTGTTTGGTCTGCCACTGAGCCAGTTCTCTCAAATTTATTGAGCAGACGTCGAATAGTGGACTCAGCAGGACGGCCATGCGCACCATAAATTGGACGCAATGCGCGGAACGTTTCACGAACCGAACATGTGTTTTGATGATAAATTTTCACAATTTCCACGCGTTGTTGAATCGTGTACTGCTCCATGATTAAATGTCAAGACTAACTTAATAACCTCACAAAATTTGACAGCTGTATCCCTACCGGTTTGGGCGCGCGCGCCGTTCAAACATCGAGCGTCCCTATCTGAACACCCTATATATGCGGCATATTCCCTGGTATAGTGTATAATATGGTTCGTGACCCAACATGTCTGAATACGAGAAAAAGTCAGCATACATATATTGGTAATGAGTAGTTACAGAATGTTTTCCTAACAAATATTGTGAGCAATACGTGTGGATCAACAGGAAAACCCGATTTGATCATCAAGTCGAAGTGATGTAATTATGTATCGGAAAGCCACATCATGTGTTACGACTTAAGGCAGACGTAATTTTATCAGCTGTATATACATCTACGAGTAATACGACGAATTTCATACTTGAAAACAATAGACAGTAAACATAACCATAGTGCATTAATATCAGTGGCGTTTTTCAAAAAGAAAATATTAAAGTCTAATTACTTGAACACACAAAATTGCTCTACTCTATACCTTCATTAACTTATTATTTTAATACTGATACTGATTGAAAATTGTATCATGCTACTACAAATTAATTTTAAGAATTTCAATATGAGTGTCAAATGGATAATGTTAAAAGTATGACTCGTTATGTAGTCCTTCTTGAATACCTCTACAATAGGGAAAATTGCTGCATATACAGTGGTGGGCGATCGGTCTGGCGCCCCGTGAACGGTGTAAAATGCTGGCTACGTTCTGGGCGAAATTGGCAAGTTTTAGGTGAGCTATTTATTTATTCATCTCAAAATTTGCCAATCATTAGATAATTGCATGTTTCAAGTTTGGGTAAAGGGATGCTTTGGAAGTGAAGGATACCGACCTTCGGTTTTAATATTTTGACGGTGATAAAATTTTTGTTAGGGCTCTGAATGTAGAGGTCCATAAAATTCCAGCACAGACCCAGAAGAACTGTATCATCTTTTTTTCTTGCTTTGCTATCAAATATCCATAGATATGTGTCACAAATGTTGTGGATGATTTCATAAAACTTATAATGTTTGTCCATCAGAGCCGCCTTAAAACAAGCATCTTGATTCGATATGTACTTGATGATAGTCATAAAAACACTATCAAATAAAATAAAGAAAGTATTTCCTGCAAGTACAGGGGGGTAAAACTACACTATAAACGCAGCTTACGCAAGTATCATATTACAAAGCAAACGACCTTGATCATAAATATATTGATGCGCTACTGTATATGTACTATGATTGATCATCCAAACAAATATTTCTAAGTAACATTAAAACTGAAACGAATTGGTGAACTGTAAGATCGTCCAACATTTTCCTGAAACACAACTGATAGTTTTCTCATTCTCACAAACGGAGTTTTCCCAAATAACATATTGTTTAGTAATTATTAAAACTTGTATATTTTGTAATGATTGTAAAATATATACTTAAGTTCGTGAAAGTTTTCCGATAAATAACAGTTTTGTATTTTTTCTAAATACGAAATACGTTTATAGATCTGTTCGTACCTACAGCTGTCGCCAACCTGTCAGTGATCGTGTCCAAGATCCCGCCACACAAATTCCATTCATTCTACTGCGCTATATAGACAGAATTTACAAGGCCAGATCCCAGACACTGTCACCGACAAGTCACCGACCACTGTACGAACAAACCGTATATGAATTTCTCATTCTAGCTTGTATCTTGCAGGAACAAATGTGTTGTACAGTTCTGTTGTTATTCATAGTAAATAAATTTGTTTGTTTTAAAAGAAATACGTATGTTCAATTATGTTATCATGACCACTGACCACCCAATTAACCTTGTTAGGACATATGATGCACAGACTCCTACGACGAATTTTACATAATTCATAACAACGTTATTCAAATAATCGTGATGGTATCTTCCTGTGTCTGAGTTAACAAATTAGAAAATTTCTTTTTAATTGGTCCGTCAAGAGGATGTGTTATGATGTTATTCCAATTAACCCTAATCTTTATTACTCAGAAGATTGGTATAAGGGATATGTGTGATATACGAGGAGGTACCCAGAAATAAACTGAATAGCATTGCAGTGGGCGGAGCTTGTGTAGTACACATTCCTGCCCCTAGAGGCATACAGCATACAGCGCAACTCATTACTAGTATACTAGTTCAGTGACACGTGACACCTGAGTTGTCGATCTGGCTTGTTTTGTTCCTCTGTAGTCAATATTTTTCCTAGAGCTGTTTCGTGCTTGTTTCGTTTTTGACGATGGCAAGCTTCAGTGAGCAACGTGCAGCTGTGAAAATTTGCTTTCTAAGTGGTAAAAATGCTGCTGAAACTGTTTTAATTTTGAAAATAGCTTACAAAGATTATGCTAAGGGAAAAACTCAGGTGTACGAGTGGTTTGGTCGATTTAAAAATGGCGACATGTCGATGGATGACAAACCTCGCTCTGGACGTCCATCAAATGTTGAAAAAATTCGACATCTTGTGCTTGCAGATCGTCGACTGACAATATATCAACTATCGGTAAGTAGTGAGTTGTCCTGGAGTTCGGTGCAGCGAATTTTAACAGAAGATTTGGGAATGAAAAGGGTTGCTGTCAAGTTTGTTCCTCGGGCTCTGACTGACAATCAAAAAGAACGCCGAGTTGAAACATGGCGTGCTTTAAAACAACAGCTTAAATCTGATCCAAATTTTCTGTCAAAGATCGTCACTGATGATGAGACTTGGTGCTACGGTTATGACCCAGAAACGAAGCAACAGTCAAGTCAATGGAAGACGCCATCGTCACTCCGTCCAAAAATGTCGTCAAGTCAAATCAAACATCGAAATAACGCTGATTTATTTTTTTGATGTCAAAGGTGTAGTCTATTCCGAGTTTGTTCCCCCAGGTCACACTGTCAATCAGACCTTTTATTTGGAGCCTTTAAGAGGGGTATCCACTCTTATGGCATGAATTGGAACAGTGTTTTTAGTTGGAGACCAATCTGTTGGATGCCGCTGGTATCGCTATTGTCATTTGTCGGAATTGGAAGCTGATATTTGACAGCTATCAGTGACGTGGCGTGGCTTGTGTTTAATATTTTTATTTTTTGTTTATACTCTATATGTGTGGTTAATTTTGAGTGATTACAGCTCTTTGTGTTTGGACCGTTTAATACTTTTATTTTTTGTTTGTGTGTGGTGAAATTTGAGTGATTACGGCGCTTGTTTATTGCAGCATGTAAGTATAGTGATATAATCTAGTTTTATAGGCTAAGGTGATGGGTACAAAACTTCAGGGCCGTCGACAAGAGAGGAGCTCGTGGCTCAGGGGGGTCCGGCGCTGAGAGGAGCCCGAGGCTCGCTTACTGAACTGGACAGACGTCCTTAGGTTCGCTCATGTCAAGAAAACGGCCCGAGAATATTTCGGCATGGGGGCTCGAGAATTTTCCGGCATAGCAGCCCGAGCTTATTTCTCAACGGTCCTGCTTATCTAAATATGTTGCTAAAATCATCAATTTTAATATTGTGTCATTACATTATTACTACATTATTACAACTGCAAAAGTTAAATTTGATTTTGTTTATGTTGTCATGTCTTCTTAGAGCTTAGCGACATTTCTATTTCCTTGAGTAATTTAACTGGAACATATTTTTGTAACTGAATGTTGTTTTTCAGAAACCATGTCTCGGTACCGCAAATGTCCAGTTAGAGGCTGTTAGGACAGTGTTTCAGTACGGCATAGATTCCTGATCAACAAATATCCAACACGACTGATGAAATTCTTGGTATGTTGGTTTGCTTTATTTTTAGTATCACCCAATTTTACATATCTCAACTTCACTTACATATACTCAGCTTTTTGGAAACTGTTATAAGTAGTCACTTTCACCAGTGTTTAGTACAAGAGATTGATACTACATAACTATAGTCTGTTTATCGAAGGAAGAGTAAATCCAAACATATACATGCATATTTTACATGACTGGTGAGGCTACATGCACCTTAGTGTTATCTCCTGCTGCACCCTCCTGGTTTGGCATTGGCAGACAACACAGTGCATGTAGCAAGTCACATAAAATATGTGTGAACATTGTTGGGTTTGCTGTGTCTTCAATAAACGAAGTATATAGTTAATATTTTCCATTTAAAACTCATTTGAACTCATAAAATGGTAATCATTTATATTTGGAATAAGTTAGACTGAGCTCCAGTTAACACTAGGAATGTTATAAGGTGAATATTTATACAGGGAGAGATAACATTATCTTAACTGCAAACATCTCATTGGTAGTTGTTTCAATCATTCCCAGAATGGGCTCCAAAACAGTTTATTGATGATAGCACAGTAACTGTATGAAACATTATAAAATTGATCATGTAATTTTTTTTTGATAGTGTGAATTGTGTGGTTACAGGAAAACCATCAACTTCAGCATCATCACAACAGTTGGGAGAAGTTTGCTCAGTTACCACCTCACAACCAGAAAATCTTGATGTAACTACAGTAGGAGTGAGGAGCATTATTCAGAAGCAAGTGAGTAAAGTAATTTTGCATGAATATCTTAGCCTATTATACCAAGGGAAACACTGCAAATCTTAATAGAAGTTCTTCAAAATTGTGAAAGTTTGAAAAGAACATTGCTTTCTATACATAATAATACCTACTAATAATAATAATTTTAATTTCAAATCACATCAGCATAATATAAACTTTAAACGAAGTTTGGTCAACTTTGACTATCAATCACTTGCATTTATTTACAAATGGAACATTTTACTGAATGTATTGTCTTGTAAAAATACAGTTCTAATGGTTTCTTAACATATATAATAATAATAATAATATTTATTCACTCAATGTACAAAGATATCAAACAATGTGAGTAAATAAATATAAAATCAAAATAATAATATATAATATAATATCAATTTCATTCTTTATTTCAAGATTCCCCAAGGACAGAATCTAGATTATTGCATAAGGTACATGTAACCAGAGAAACCCACTTAAGTCCAAAAGCTAAAAACCTATATAAGATAGCCAGTCACCTCTCTAGAGCTAACAGAAGACTAGGATATACAAGAAGGTTGATCAGAAGTACCAGAAGTACACGAGAAGTATTAAATGAGGCATTGCAGCAACAGACAGCACTGTAGCTACTTTTATCAAGAGCCAGATCACACTGGCTGGTAGTAAATCACAGGGATGCAGATATAGCTTAGAAGACAAATTGATGGGACTTATACTTCATAAACAAAGTGGTAGGGGATACCGAGCATTATCAAAAATATTTACTTTGCCCTCAAAAAAATCAATAATGCAACTATTAAACCAGATTCCCATCAATCCAGGTGTACACTGAGCACGCTTAACTTAGCTCAGGACATCAGGGACTGGAAAGTGTCTCTAACACCCTCTCTATCGGATCACAGGTATATACTGTTCAAGACTGATGGAGAGATTCCGGATAAATATGCTCGGAATCCCAGGCATACTAGATGGGGGTCCTTTAGGGCAGACATTGACAGTAAGCTTGGAGCGGTCCCATACAGGCTTGGCAGGGGCTCTGACATAGAAGCAGCTGTCGAGTCTCTGAGCAGGGACTTGACGGCCGCATATGAGGAAAACTGCCCGTTACGCAAAGTACAAGGTAAGGGCAAGGCAACCTTCTGGACCAAAGATTTAGAGGATAGAAAACGAGCGGTGCACAAACTTCTTAGCAGAGTTAAGCACAGGAGAGGTTCTCCTCTATGGGAAGAATACAAAAAGGCATTGCAGGAGTACAAAAAGGAGATTAGAAGGGCCTCCAGAGAATCCTGGAGGCACTTCTGTCAGTCCATAAATGACATTCCTGCTACTGCAAGAATACACAGAGTCCTATGCAAAGACACTAAAGCAAGATTGGGATCTCTGCATGATCCCTCGGGAGGGAACACTACTTCCGAGGAAGATACTCTGAGGCTTCTGATGGATACGCACTTTCCCGGTTCCACAGTAGCGCGATCAATCACAGAGTGCATGCAGTTGCGCAGGCCCTCAAGGGAGGACTGGCGCACGGCAAGGGAGATTGTCACCTTCGAAAGGACGGTATGGGCAGTAGATTCGTTTGCCCCATACAAAAGTCCAGGTCTGGACGGCGTATTTCCGGCCATGTTACAGCAGGGACGGATTTCGGTTGTTCCTTACCTGTTGAATGTGTTTCGAGCATGTGTGGCCACGGGCTTCACACCTAGAAGTTGGCGGCAGGCTAAAGTGGTATTCATTCCTAAACCGGGCAGAGATAGATATACTGGCCCGAAGGATTTTCGACCGATTACTCTTTCATCTTTTGTGCTTAAGACCCTGGAAAGGATAGTTGATAGATACCTAAGGGATGGCCCACTGGAAAGGTGTGTCATTCATGCAAATCAGTTTGCATACCAAGCTGGAAAATCGACTGATCTGGCCTTACACAATCTGGTTGGGAGGCTGGAGAAGACTCTAGATCAGCGAGAAGTGGCACTCGTGGCCTTCTTAGATATTGAAGGTGCATTTAATTGCACCACAACCGACTCTATCAGACAGGCCTTGGTTAGACACGGGGTTGGATCAATCCTAATAGATTGGGTCCTCTCTACTCTGGAGGGTCGGGTAACAACAGCTATGCTGAATAACGTAAGCTGCAGCGTGAACGTAGCTAGAGGCTGCCCTCAGGGTGGAGTTCTGTCACCCCTACTGTGGTGTATCGTGGTGAACGAACTGCTCGTTAGGCTCAACAGTATGGGTGTCTACGTGCAAGCCTATGCTGATGACGTAAGCATAGTGGTTAGGGGGCGTTTCTGTAGAACAGTCTCGGAAATTATGCAGGGCGCTCTGCGCTCCGTGGAATCGTGGTGTAGGGAAGTCGATCTTTCTGTTAATGCTGAAAAGACCGAGCTGATCCTATTCACTAGGAGAAGAAGGCTTGACGGACTGGTCATGCCTACCTTCTTTGGGACTAGATTAGTTTTGTCCCAGTCAGTGAAATATCTGGGAATTATCCTGGACTGCAAACTGAACTGGAGAGAGCATGTGGAACACAAGGTTAGCAAGGCTCGCAATTCGATGTGGGCTTGTAGACGTGTTGTCGGTGTAAGGTGGGGGCTTAAACCCAAAGTGGTATACTGGCTCTAAGTAGATGGTCTATGGGGATTCGGTCTCAAAACTTCCAAAATCCGCCACCAGAGGCGCTGGCGTCGCGCGCCATTGACAGGTTGTTGGACGGAATCTGTATTCATGAGTTGGGGATTCCGCCGCTAGATGGCGCTGTCAAACCAAACGGAATCTGTGTGTCATTGGACACCTGTCATGCGTCATTGGGCATCTCACGCATAGATGGCGTTACACGTCATCTGTCATACGTCATTGGACACCTGTCATTGATGGGTTGAGCATCTCGCGCATAAATGGCGTAGATTTGTTTGGCGGTGTACAAACCTAACGGAATCTATGCGTCATTGGACAGCTGCCATTGATGGGTTGGGCATCTCGCGCATAGATGGCGCCGATGTCGCACCTGTCTGGTGTTGGCGTGGATTACGGGGGGCAACGTGTATACAGGGGTGCATCGAAAAATAGCGGATCGATGGACCGACGGTATATCGTTAAATCGTATATAGCAAGGCGTGACCTAAATAGCGTGGTGGGCTCCTCTGGTCGGTCGGTCGGTCGGTCAGAATGTCTCATAACCTGTATACGATGTACTGTTATTATTATACAGGATGATACCGTTCAAAATGAAAATAGTATAGACATTCTGACAATTATTTCGCAAACCAGAGGTATTTTCAATAAAACTACAATAATACGTTTAATATTTTATTGAAAATAGAAAAAAACTACATAGGTAATATGATATTTGAA